TGCGTGAGTGAGTGCGTGAGTGAGTGAGTGAGTGAGTGAGTGAGTGAGTGAGTGAGTGAGTGAGCTTCCAACCACCTCCGATATCCATGCAGGGGTCAAGCCAGAGACATCCGGAGGGGTTTTGATAAGTTTGAATGGTCCCTTACAGCCAGAGTGTCGGGATTCTAGCGAAAGACGCTAGAGGGGAGGCCGACACTCGTGCAGCAAACGAACACCTTCACGGCATCCTTTCAGGAAGGCCACACACTACATGGGAGTTTCCAAAAATTAGGGTACCTTATTTTGGGGGTCCTTAAAATAAGGGTCCTACTATTTAGGGTAATTACTATATTAGGGTCCCCTATTTTCGGAAACTCCCACATAGAAGGGTGCTTGTGTCATCAACTGCAAGATCCAGTCCAAAGAATGGTACCGAGAACTAGGACGGGAAACTGTGCCAAAGGATACGATGGCCACCACGAAACATGTCTCATTGTGAACGAGAAGGGGTCCCCTTGACACCACCCGGAGGCCCCGCAAGACCACACCAGGAGGGGCGCTATATGCCGCCTCCCTTGTCAGCTCGAGTACCCCGGGACAGGCCCAGAGAGTGAGTGAGTGAGTGAGCCCGGGAGTGAGTGGGGAGTGACAGTGAGCGAGTGCTGAGATGTGCTGAGCATGGACAGTCTCACAATTTGAGCAGGTGCTTTGATGGCCTTGGCGGCAGACGCCTGCAGCACCACGACGACGACGACGACGACGACGACGATGAGCTTGAGGATGAGGATGAGGATGAGGATGAGGATGATGATGATGATGATGGTGATGATGATGATGATGATGGTGATGGTGATTGTGTTGCTGATGCTGATGCTGATGCAGATGATGATGATTATGATTATGGTGATGATGATGATGATGATGGTGATGGTGATGGTGATGGTGATGCTGATGCAGATGATGATGATTATTATTATGGTGATGATGATGATGATGATGATGATGATGGTGATGACGGTGATGGTGATGGTGATGGTGATGGTGATGGTGATGGTGATGGTGATGGTGAAAGTGATGCTGATGCTGATGCTGATGCTGATGCTGATGCTGATGATGCTGATGATGCTGGTGATGCTGATGATGATGATGATGACGATGATGATGATAGTGATGGTGGTGATGATGATGATGATGATGATGACGACGATCGTGAAGATGATGTGCAGTGATGATGTTCATGATCATGATGAGGAGGAAGAATCGGGAGAGGATCTGGGCTGCGTTGGTTCATTCTCAACACTTTAGTGCTGATACAAGCTAGAATTCCAAGCGATGTTCAAGAACGGCAAAGGGATGCTGATTGCTTCATGGATCCTAAACCCCTAAGCCCTATAAAGAGTAAAGCCCGCATCAAGTAAACCCGACAGGACCAAAGTTCCCACCTGCCCTTCGTGCAATGCCAGAGGACTCCGAAGCCATGATGCGGGAGACCTGGTTGAGAATTTGGGCTTTCGATTTCGGGTTTAGGATTCAGTGTCCTTTCATATCGCAGGCTGGTGTTTCTGGGTGTTCGAGAGTTGAAGATAGGGGCCTCGGTAATTCGGACCCCAGGTCTGCAGCGTACTACACTATAATGAACCAGGGATTTAGGGTTTAGGAACCCTGACAACATATTGCTAGCAGCTAGCAATTCTCCAGACCCCTATGCTAAGGCCACACACTCGGGTTTGTGAATGCAGCATTTTGGTTTCAGGGAGTGTTGGCTGCTGTCGATATACATCATACTGAATACTGGATGACATGTATATGTACCTGTGTATATCTACACATACGATCTCTCCGGAAGAGCAAACTACATTCGGCGATCATTTAAGAATCCGGTGATTCGAAGTTCGGAATCTCTTGAGGGTCTACGACCTGAAACCCCGAACCCTAAACTCTATAGGGTCCCTGAACCCTTAACTCTATGGGGTCCCTGAACCCTAAACTCTATGGGGAACCCTAAACCCTAAACCCTGAACCCTAAACCCTAAACCCTAAACCAGGTAGGTCAGGGTCGGTTTGGGCTAAGGATCCGGTCCCTGGGCATCGGCCTTGTGCCCAGGACGGGAAGAATGGGGCCTCATTAGAATAGGGAAAAAGGCTTCCATCGGTTTAGGGTTTAGGGTTTAGGGTTTAGGGTTTAGGGTTTAAGGTTTAGGGTTTTAGGGTTTAGTGTTTAGGATTTAAGGTTTAGGGTTTAGGGTTTAGGGCTTAGGGGTAAGATAGCGAAGCTCAAGAAAAGCCGTACCAGTTCTCCAAGAATCAGAATCAACTGTCTTGATTTGGCTCGCTTTGGCGGTCTAGTGCGAAACTACGCTCCACACTTCGGGTATCCCAAACCCGGAAACCTAAACCTTTGACCACGAAAATCCTTAAACTCTACACTCTTGTGCCTCCTCGTTGGGCATTGCAATCTGCAACGTCAGCTGACCCAGGTCGCTGGTGTTGGAGAGCGAGCTGGCAAAAGCGCCTCGCAATTTTGGATTCCAGGTTCAAGGTTCTGGGCCTAGGGCCTTGTGCCTGCGGATTTAGGGAAGAGGGCTTCTGTCTTATGGCTTGCGACTTTTGCGTGATCTGACCGCGACTGCTGCTCACACTGCAAACTGGCATAGGCGGGGTGCTTGCAGCTTCTCCTTCCACACTTGTTGCAGTGACAGGCACAGTTTCTTCAGCCCCGGGGGGAGAGGGGGGGGGGGGCTGGTGTAAACAAAGGCCG